TACACCCTCAGATCCAATTAATGTCAGAGTTAAGTGCAGGGTTTGGCAAATATGACTTTCAGGTAGCATTTTGGAAGCACAGAATCTGTTACATGTCTTTTTTAAGGGCGTTGCCCTGTATTTCAAACTTCAAATGAAGTTTATGTCAAAGTAAAAAGGCCTAGTCCTAGTTTAATATGAATTGAAATCTTACTCACATTTCCTAGTGCCATAGAAAACACATTGCAGCTGCAAGCAGTTCTTGAAGGACAGAAATCATGATTCAGCAGGTCAACATTTGCAAACCAGGAATACAAATGAATGGAGATTGATTAATTTTGGTAGGAGCTAAAGTTAAACTCCAACCTTAGACTGTGTTTTTAACTTAGAAAATGTTTTATTACAACTATTTTGTTGCATGTACAGTAAAATTACAGTCATTTGGAACCCCCCAAATGTTGAAATGTCAGGGGTTTTCTGGAGAGCAGAAATTGCACTTTACTGACCAGCCCTTCCCCTGTGCAAGCTTAGATGAGACAGGATCTGCAGAAAGCATCTGTGCAGGAATTAACATAAGAAAATGTGAATATTGTGAAGACAGCAGCAGTTCCCCCTTTTTCCTTGATGACTGTGTGCCCTGTTAGACCAGTTGTACTCTGGAATGGTTTCCATTTCTGGCATGTGGCACATCGTTGTCCCAGGGCTTCTGAGGTGCCCTCCAAGTGCCGCTCTCCTTGGATTTTACAGCTTTGGCTCCACTGCAGATCATTTCGCCTTGCAGGGCCGGAGGTCTTTGAAGTTTTTAATGGCATGGGGGGAGCTGCTGCTGCRCGACGTGGCCCTGCACCAACCCCTTGCAGGTGGCACTGGGAGGTCCTGGGCGCTCTCTGCTCGCAGCCTCCTGAGTTGAAAGGCWCAGAGTTCTGCAGCTCTCACTCCTTCACCTCCCCTTTTCCATGGAGCCGTTCGCTAAAATATGGATCGGTTCCAAAGAAACTCCTTGGTGCCAGGTTTGCAAATAGATGACATTTCAGCATGTTTGTTCTCTATTGAAGCACAGAAGCGTGCAATATTCTGTTTCTTGCTGGTTTTGCCGATAAATTAGAGCCAGGTGCACAGCTCAAGAGCTTCAGTGGCTTGCTGATCTCTTTACTGTAAGGCTGCAATAGCAAGACAGTCTAAATGACTTGCTTTTTCCTTACAGCCTCAAAGGTCATTACTGTTTTAATACATTCAGGTGGTGCTTCAAAGACCTGTTTGTTATTTTACACAGCTAATTTTAAGTAGATGTATATGATCTTTCCAGTACCAGAACCTCAGTTGAGTCCTTTATTCTTGCAACCATTTTTTTGTCCCATTAAAGCTTGAATGTGTTGTATTTTTAAGCCCAAATATACTTTATAACTTTTTTTAAATCTTCAAAAAAATGTGTATAAATTAAACGTGTCTCAAGGTTTTTTGCTATCAGTTAATATACATAGTAAAGAGAAAAAAAAGGGAAAGAAAAGCAGTGTTGTGTTTTGAAGGAGATTCCTTTTCCAAAAGAACAAAACAAAGTTTATGCTTTGACAACAAGCCGGGGAACAAAAGAAACCCGAGTCATTGAGAAAAAGTACCCAGTCATCATGTCAGCTTGACATCCTTGATTGTAGCATAGAACTTTCTTTTCAGGAATTGTTTTGAAAGCCATGAAATAGTSGATGGTAAATGTTAATCTCTTAAGATGTGTGAACACTCCAAAAAAGAAGAAGAAGAAAAAAAACAAGCATGGATGCAGTTTGCATGGTGTTGACCTGAATAACAGGATAATGCGCTTAAGCAGCTTATTCATTCTTCAGCGCCTTGGCGCAAAGGAGAAGCCCCACAATGGTTTGCCCCTCGCAGTTTAGAAATAACCACTGTTCTTTTCACTTGTTGAATGCTTAATTCTTTTGTCTCCAGCCCCGGTTCCTTCATAAGTTGTTCCAAACGGGACTATAAAGGAGCTTTGGGGTTATTTCGTGTCGAACTGTAACGTTTGTGAAGCAGAAGGCACTGAGCTGTAAAGGAATTTCGAGCCCTCGGCGTGGCTGGCCAAGCTTTTCATCCGCGATGTATTCCTGACTTAATTGTCCATGCGGCTGAGACTTCCCAGGCTGGAAGCTTAAACAAAACCCAGAGAGATTGAGTTAATTGTGGTGTACGTATTCCACATTAAGTTTCTGTATCAATGGTAGGTGTATAAATTGGTTTTACAGGGACAACTGCTTTAGAGCTCCAAATTGCACAACTGGCAACACATCTATAGTGATTGCAGGTATTAAACAGGGCTGTAAAAGTGGCAAAAAAACAAAAAGTGGCCATGTTTGAATGCAATCCTGCAGCTTACTTAGCACCYTTATTTTAATGTTAGTATGAATTCCTATTTTTCTTGAACTTTCACAGAACTGTAACTGGATAGATAGATAGAGATATAGAGATATATATTTCATGCAAATTGATTGTTGAAGAAAAATCCTGCTGATGTCTGTTAAAATGTCCAGTCACTTTGCCTGTTAGAGGCAGGGCAAGAAATAATCAGTGAGAGGATAAATAACTTAATGCCAAATGGGGCTGCCCAGTGCACCGTGTGCTTGCAGGGGATGCAGAGGGGCATGAGGTTACCAAGAAGCAAAGCGGCTGGCAGCCGGATTTTCCTCACTTTTCCAGTGAGAAATTCCAGTGGATTTTCCAGCGCTTGCCCTGCCGAAGGTGTGTGTGGGAGAGCAGCTCCTGCTCCCGGCAGCCCCACCGTCCARCCCTGCCTGTTCTGCCTGTTGGGAAGCACGGGGCAGCTCCCACGGGGCTCCCAGACTTCAGATTTTGCACCGCTGGGCAGCTCCTTTGCAATTCATGGGGATTTATTTCCCAGAGAAGGAAAATTACCCTTTATTTTTCCCGTTCTAAGTTCATTTTAAATGACCAGGAAAAATCAAAACAGAAACAAAATATTCCTCTAGGGATAGTTCCTCAGTACAAAATTGGAAATGACAAAAAAAGAACAATACAGAAGACAGCATGACTTGAGAATGTATCTGACATCCATTTCTGGTTGTTTTTTTCCTGCATTGTCTGCAATTGATATATAATTATAATTCTGAATTTGCTGCTAGAACATCTAGAATAGAGTCAATGAAATGAATGAACAGAATGTACTTCTGTAAGTGGTCAGCTAGAGCATAYGGTCCTCAAACATGGAGGCTCTATAGAATTGGAGAATCACAGAATGTTCAAGGTTGGAAGGGACCTCTAGAGMTCATCCAGTCCAACCCCCTGCTCCAGCAGGGACACCCAGAGCACGGGGCACAGGGCGGCATCCAGGCGGGTTTGGAAGATCTCCCAAGAAGGAGACTCCACAGCCTCCCTGGTCAGCCTGGTCCAGGGCTGTCACTCTCACAGGAAWGAAGTTCTTCCTCACCTGGAAATGGAACTGCCTGTGTTTCAACTTACACCCACTGCCCCTTGTCCTTTCACTGGCCACCACTGAGAAGAGCTTGGGCCCTTCCTCCCTACATTCTCCCCTCATGAACTTATACATGTTAATCAGGAGAAAGGCACAGACAAAATAACTGCAACGTAAGGACTACATTCTTAATAACAAATTAACTTTTATTTTAAACTTTGTGTGTTCTCCAGTTCAAACAGTTGAACAGCCAATAAATATCTTATGAATGTCTATAAATAATACATTAGAAATWATTTATTTTGAAGTGGTGACATATCATGGTGTTTGTAAGATAATTTAAGAAAAAATCAGCTTCTAATTGTGTTAAAAATTTGTGTTGGACTTTTTAATCTATTCTGGCATCTTCTATTTTTTATTGAAAGGAGAAGAATAAGGAAGAAACAAATGTCTTTATAGGCCAGCAGAGTGGCCTGCCTTAGGATACKCCAGGGGATACAAATTACCTGCAAAGCTTCAAGCTTCTTGTTGATTCAAATCAGTCTTCAGCTGTGACTTGTGACCTAAAAGATTTTTCAGTTCAACAACATAGAAAACCTGCAAGGAAAGTTTAGGGACTAAATTTCTAGATTGAGTGAGACTGACCAAGCTCTCCAGCCCTGTTTCTTCCCCAGAACAGAGAGGACTCTTCTGGAAGGAGACGTGGACTGTATTTTTGCCTTACGACTTTTTTCTAATGGTCTGGTCCACAAATTTCTACAGTGTTGTTGCCTCCCCAAATTGTTGTTTTTAGGTGAAAAATGTTTAGCCCCATTCCTGACCAATTCTCCAAACAGTCTGGACATGTGTGGGAGGACTGTATATTAGCTGGAAGAGAGAAGTGATCTTACTCAGTTCGAGAGACCTGTCCTGTRAAAGTTAATCCCAAAGGCTGTCTTTATTTGAGGGTTCCTGAGAGAGCCGGTGCAAGTATTGAGACAGGGAATTGTTAAAGCTGTGGTGAATTGCTAAAAGAATTTGCAAGGCACTTTGCACACATTTATTAAGTGTGTAAGCTACATTTTGCAAAGAAAATCAGACCTAAGTGAGACTTTTTAGYGTCCATGTCCAGTGAAGACATGGAATAAACACAGGTTTGATATTTGCATGGACCTAGGGGAAGATCATYGGATATTTGAAGAAAGGAAAAATGAAAGATTTCTCTTTGGGAGAAATTTGTGAAACATGAGGATAAAAGTGAAGAAAATAGTGTGAGCAAACCATCAGGATGTAAAGGAAAAAAAAAAAAAGTACTAAATAAAGCCTTAAAGGATACTTTTGAAACCTCACTTGCTAGGTTTTCCTTCTTCACTTGGGAACAGCACATTTCCTTTGATACGGGGTTATCCATTTCCCTTTATATAAAAGTGTGTTTCTTGAATCTCTGTGTTGCATCTTTTCAGTCTTTACACAGAGGTGGATAAATGGATATGCACCTTCATATGCTTCACAGAGTGTTAATCCTCAAACACCGTGTTCCTCTTCTTTTTGGAATGTACCAGTGTAACCTGTTCATGTAATAGGTCAAACTTTATTTTTTATTTTTTATTTGTTTTAACAGTCACTACTGAAGGATCCTTTGTACATCGGGCTGAGACACAAGAGAGTCAGAGGTCAAGCCTATGATGATCTTCTTGATGAATTCATGGAAGCTGTAACTTCAAGGTATGCGGTACATTTGATTCACACAGAGATTCAAGAGACTCAAGAGACTACACAGAGATTCAAGAATTCACCAGTGTGCTATTCACTGGTGAATTTCGCTGTGGACTTCCATCCTGGGACAAAAAAGTTTCAGTAGCTTATGAAAGAAAGAGAACGATGAGATCAGAACTGTCAGAATTCTAACTTTTCTATTTTGAGCATAGAATTTTGTAATTTGGTCACCTGTCTCAACTGCTTGCCCTAGATAATGCAGTTTTATGAATTCACTACATGTCTGCAAAAAAACCACTCACCCTGAGATGAGCGAACTAGTTTTTCAAGCTATGTTTTTTCAAGGCTTAGACTGTTAGATATTTTCCTGACCTACTTGTTAGGCATTTGCCTAGAATTTCTCTGTGACTTCAGTTCTATTTTAAAGTGTTATTTGCTACACTTGGTATTTTCAGAGGTCTCCATTTATATGCACCAGAATGAAACACATTTCTAGAAAATCCTCATGTGTATCTCAAACTAGGATTCTGTGGCTCCTGCACTTTCTTTCCCCTCAAATCTTACACTGTGACCAAATAGATTCACAAGTATTTTGGATCTCTTGGTCTATAGTGGCTTTAATGTCTGAGGTGCAGATTTACTATGGGCATAATGTGGCATTGTCACCACGTGTCACCCCCCGTCACCATTCCTTCTGCTGCCTTGTGAATGTGACAGGACTAGGGATGTTCTCCCTGCAGCGCCGGCAGGGATTTCCCTGTCTCCCACCCCAGGTGCGAGCTGGTGCCCGTCTGGAAGCGGCGCTTGCTGGGTCAGGCAGGGACCGACCCCGGGGCCAGCCTCCGGTCACAGCTCGGGGTTCATCTTCCTCTGAGTGTTAGGGTTGCCTTCAGGTTGGAGTGAGTCCTCTATAAAACAAAACAAAACACAAGCGACAAAGAAATATCCAGTTGAAGTTTCCAGTGCTTTGTTTTTAGCTATTATGGCAGAAACTTGTACTAAATCAGCTCTTTCTCTTACCTTTTTTTTTTTTTTCTCCTCTCTACAGAAAGTACTGAAATTTAGTAAATATAGTAGTWGTATTTTAGTAAATGAAGTAATACTTCTCATATGTGGAGTCCTGGCTGTGCCYTCAGTAAGCATATCTGATATAGCCTACGTCCCTGGTCATTAGCAGAAGGCAGCTTCGGCATTTCTTAAACTTTGCAGCCAGGCCTGTGCTGCGGAGCATGGAAATAGTTTCCAGCAGCTTGGTTGTGGTTTGTACCCCCTGTCTGTGCTTTGCTCCCACACTGTGACTTAATGTGAACGTGCACAAGGCTCCTTGCCCCTGCCTGGTCCCTGTGCAGAAGAAAGCTGGGCAGGGAGGTGGTGTTAACCTACCTGCCCGAGCTCGGGTTCCTCCTCGTGCTGCTGCTCTCTTCCCCATGGCCCTGGGGGGCCAACACTGCCTTGCTTGTAACCCTGCAGAGGAAGTTGCTGCTTTGCCCCCATCCTCTGGTGTGTTTGTTATTCAGTTTCGTATTCTCTTTCACATGAAGTTGGTAAATGCTCATCTTCCTACTTGGATGTATAAACTAAACTACAAAGTTAATGTATTAAGATATAKTCTTCATGTATGAACTACTATCTTAATGTATTTCCTCAATCACCTTTCCTTTGAAACAAACCRTGGGGTTATTTATGCAGAAGAAAATCATCAGAGTCAAGCAGAAGTTTATTTCCATAAAAGAGCTGGTTGACTCGCCCTTTTTCCTTAAACATCTGCAAAACTCTATAATTTCAAGCAATTTTTAGCAATTAGTGTTTGTTTGACCTTCTGAAAGGTCATTTTGTTCTCCATTATATTGCCATGGTCTGCAGTGGTGACCTGTATTTTATGTTTCTAGTGGTGGACTTTGGATTCAAACTTTGTGAGTGCTGAGTTGTTTTGRTTGTAGTGACAATTATATTATTTATGATGCTCTGTGATAAGATGTAGGGAAAAGTGATGTACCTAGGAGAAAATCAAGTCCATTTGTGTATTCCAGTGTCTTCCAGCAGCGGCTTTCCTATTTAACGTTGCCTAATCAGACAAAGGCAAAAGGTCTGGGGGAAATCTCTGCAGAGTTTTGAGATCTGTGTCTTATTTACCAGTTGTGATTTATTTTCAAACATTTCCAAGACATACATGAACACGAACATCACAACGCACAAAGCTCTTGTGTTTTTCATAAGCAAATTTAAACACCAAGAAGACTGCAGTTTGGAGAACCATGATAAAATTTCTGCTCTATATCTTTTTGTCCCTCGTATTTCTCTAAAGAAACCAAATGCAATAACCAGGTTGTAGCAGCATTGCCTGAAAACAGGCAGGATTAGCCTGGCAGACAGTGCCGGGTAGTTCAGACCTGCTTTTTATTGGTTTTCAAGGAATCTTCCCAAACATGAGTACCATTTTGGCAGAATGTGATTTTCAAAGCTCAAACTTGTGAAAATATTTCTGGTTTCCAGGCTAGTCCAATGCCAGAGGTTTCTGGATGAGGAATAAKGTATTCCATTTTCCTGGTATTTTTRTCAATCAATAAGCTATGCTACTGAAAAAAAGGCAGCTTGTGTACAATAGTAATTTTATAGTAGCTGCTACTATAGTTCTGGATGGAATTGATTACAGGATACCCTTTTTATTTAACAACTAGATAAGAACAAGAGCAAGGTTAGTAGTAAGTAGTTCATCTTTAGCGTGCTTTTGTTGTTCTGATAAATAGTGTATGTGTTGTGAAAAAAAAATAGAGCAATAAGGTGTGTGGTCATATAGCTAGTTGGCTCGAAGCATGTTACAGGACTGATGTATATAGTGAAATGTAATTATGCTGGCCACCTCAGCTAAGAAATATACTTGTATTTTTTAACATTACATAGWCTATATATTGTATTTTATACTGTATTTTATACTGAAATACATTTATTTCATAGAGAAGTACATAGGTAGAACTATTTTAAACACAGTTTAAACTTGGAGTATGCTGGTCTTAGCAAATTGAAGAGCAGTGGAGCAATTGCTGCTAAAGCTGATAACATAAATATAAAAAGTTAGGTATTGTAGAAGAAGCTGTTCAAGCAGCAGCAGCATTTATGTTCTTGACCTCAGAGATAAAGAGATTTTGTTGAATGCCTCCATAGGAATTGGATAGAGAAGGACATTTCATTGCATTTAAAGGATAAAATTGCTATATAAGTAAATAACATAAATTAGACTTGTAATACAGTCAGAGACACATATTTTCAGTAAAAAAAATGTACTTCTCCTACTTGGTAAAGCACTAATACTGCATAAAAACAATAGACAAAAGCCTCAAAACCTATGGAAAGATGTTGAATCTGTTGAATATATTAATTAAGGCCTTTGGCACATGATGAATCTTTAAAGCTTGTGTGGGATTCTTTTTATCTCTGAGAAACTGTAATTCGTTGTCTTTTTTTMTTTTACACAGGAAGCTGAATATTGATCATTTCTGTTAGATCAAACAGTAATTGCAAAAACAGTAGTTCTGTTAGAAGAATAGAAATGGTTGTTGAAGCTGCTGCAGTAAAAATGTCAGGTAAACTGCAGGATTTGATGTGCATAGTGTGTGATASAGCAGGACTGATGTTTGCATGTGAGACTCTTCAACTCGTTTTTTGAGGTTTGTTTAGCATTGGGCTGATTAGTACATTATTATATGCAAATTATGGAGATATAGGTTTGTTGATTATTTTTCAGTTAGCATTTAAGCTATTATTTTAATATTAAGAAAAGGAGCTTTATTTGCTGCTTCTTTGTGAAGAGATTGCTAAAAATTACAGCAAGTCACCTGTAAGGGAAGAACTTTCTGGTGAGTCAGTCAATTAGAGCCAAGAAATAAAGAAAAAAATCTTCTTCCAGCGAAACCATACCCTTACCTTTTTATTTTCTGTTTTGCATCATAAATCAAATTTTTCACTATTTAGACTGAATCTAGGATTGCTTTTTAGAGCAGGTTCTCTCTTCAGCCCTCTCTGCCTTGTGTTAGTTGCTGCGCGGCACCGTGTTCCCTTCTACACCTGAGCTGCAGGGTCATGACGTGCTGAATGGAGCGGGTCACTGCAATTTGCAGTAGGTTTTTTTTGATAAAACTGATTTAAGAAAGCAGTGATCAACAGCATAGTATTGAATTCCCTTCAGAGTGAATTCCTGGTTGAAGTTAAAGCACATTCATGATGRTTGAGGTTTTGTTATCCTTTTGTATTAAAAGGAGGAGGGTAAAACTGCAAGAAAGGAAATGTATAAGACTTGTAACTGAACTTCAGAGGTTTAMTCTTATATATGGATTTTTATAAGCTGATGCAGCATCATTTATAATGCATAATGCTCAAATGTCACCTTTATAGAGTAAATGCTGTTATGCATAGAATAGAAAGTGTTCTTTTTAAAAAACATGTTGTGTGAAGGTATAGTTTCATCAACTGTAAAACTCTCTAGTTGTCACCCTCTCTTTCCACTCACTCCCAAAAAAACTCTTCTTAGAGGAGAAAATTATTTATGAAGGAGCGAGTGTTTAAAAAAACCCTGAAAATGTCCTTTCCTGAAAGATTTTAGTACAGTATCCAATGTGCTATCGTTGCAGAATGAAACGTGTACAATATGATTTTTCCCAGATGTGGGAAGGCAGAAGCATATGGAAAGTATCTGGATTTTTGTCAGCATAAATCCAATGAACAGCTTTTATTTACTTACCTATGTACATGTTTTCCTATTTATTAATTTATTACTTATGCTGGCTGCTGCCCTCTCTGTCGCATCTCCTCTAATTCCTGTGGCCATTACTGAGTGTTTCCTGCTTTTGTTTGGCATGGTGAAAGGTAATCATTTAGGAGAACAGACATCTTCGAGGCGGAAGGAATGTTTTATAACTTGAGAAAAAAAGTTGGCCGATACCTTCATCATTAAAGAACTTACATAAAACTGAAAGACTTGCTTAGAAATGTTATATTCTGCCCTATGAAGAAAT